AGAATACTAAGAAGGAAAAACAACAACAAATTAGGAAAACGATCCATAGATCCATTTCGTGTCCAATAAATGAGTCCCCGTGTTTATTTTTAATAAAGAAGGTTAATATGATACTTGAAGACGAAAAATAAGCGAATATTTTGAAGTTTTAGTCGTCTGGTGAATTCGTAATATTTTAATAAACACCGATAAACTATATAAAATTCTGCTCTAAAATTTCTGTGGTGCCCCTCTTTGCTTGGTGCCCTAAGCACGTGCTTATATTGTTTAATGGTTAATCCGGCGCTGCCCTCACAACATTACTTAGATAATTGCCCTCAACTGAAATTTTGTAAGATAAATTGAAAATTATGTTGTGTGTTCAAATATGATATTTTAATTTAAGAACCACTCGCACATCAACTACGCTATTTTAAACAATGACAGATAATAAGTCTGTTTACATGTGTTTAAGTCTGTTTAAATGTGGAAGTTTCTTGTCTCCATTCGAGCTTCATGTCAGACAGCATGAAAGATTAATTGATATGTAACAAATTGTTCGTTATAAAAGATTAATGTAAACAGTCGAAATGTGACATCCGCGTGTCGCATTCTTTTTCCTGAGGCATATTTTACATTGAGCCATGTATTTGTTGTTGTTCATTTCTTATGGGAAGCTCAGCAAGTTTTCTCGATGCTAGAAAGAAGTCGGTAAAGAAAATACATGTCTCGTAATATGCCCCTCACAACATTACTTACATCAGGGTGGTCAAAGGTTGTTGGCTCCGCGGGCCACAAAATTATTTTGGCATTGGTCGCGGGCCACAATAGTACCAAGAATAGGTAAACAGTGCAATACATAACAAGCACTTCTATTGTGTAAACACATAGTTATCAGGCATTGCCAACCTAGGCTGATGGAATCCGCATCCGATGTTTAGTTTTCTACCATGCATATGGCAAAACGATAGAATTCCAGGTAACAATTTAGACTACCCATCACATCTTAAACTTTGCTAGCTGCTTCAGCTAGCCATCATACTAATCAATTCAGTCACAGTAGTGATATAACAACGATATGTCAAACGATTTTTCTGATTTATTTCATGAGAAGCAATTTAAAATACGATATTTTAATTACTCTCCGAATGCGGCGCGGGCCACAGATTATGAATCGGCGGGCCACATGTGGCCCGCGGGCCTGGGTTTGGACCACCATGAATTAGATAATCGCCCTCAACTAAAATTTTGTAAGATAAATTGAAAATTATGTTTTGTGTTCCAATATGATATTTTGATTTAAGAACCACTCGCACATCAACCACGCTATTTTACACAATGACAGATAATAAGTCTGTTTACATTCTGTGAGAACGTGGAATTTTCTTGTCTTCATTCGAGCTTCATGTCAGACAGCATGAAAGATTAATTAATATGTAACAAATTGTCGTTATAAAAGATTGATGTAAACAGTCGAAATGTGACATCCGCTGTGTCGCATTCTTTTTCCGAAGCATATTTTATATTGAGCCATGTAATTGTTGTTGTTCATTTCTTATAGGATGCCGAGCATATTGGAAGCATCGGGTTTTTTGTGAATTATCGGGCTTTCAGACAGCAATGCCTCAAATGTTGAGTATGTGGTGTGTTTAAATGACTTTAGATGAAAGGTTGAGCCTGTTTATGTTTCGTTTTCAAATGCGAATATTGGGGAATTTTTCATATAATTCTTATTACAAATTAAAATTGCATTTTCATACAAAATTGAAGCGGATAACGGACGCCATGCTGGATTACTATCAATCAACACAATTCATAGTAACCTAATATATCTTCAGTGAAAGTCTGTTTTTACTCTGCACCATTTATTAAGGCTACACCTCTTGAAAAGAACCCAGCAGCTTAACTATATACCCCCAAAAAACGTTTTATATAAATATCAAAATCTTTTTCTCTTAAGAATTATTCTAGCAAATTTCAAAAAGGGAATAAATAATCCACAAAATGTCACAGGCGAGTAAAATAACATTGTTGCTATTTGTGACTGCTTTTGTTGTAACAGTCAATTGCAACACTTGTTCTGTTAAACCAATGGAGAAAGGCGTGGATTTGAATAGGGTGAGTACAGTATTATTAGCATTGAATTTCGCGGTATTTTTTATCGCTAGTCATCACTAACCTGTAAATTTACCTCCAAAGTAAATTCAATTTCTGGTTGCCGTCGGAAAATAACCGCAACATTGACCAGTGAAAGTATTAGAAGTCCAGGTTCTCTAAAAGGTGCCCCTGGAGTATGCGTACCAAGATGGCGGACACCGGAACGTAGTATGTTTACCAGGTTAAATTAGGCCATAATTTTATTCCAATTTTCCTTATTTCAGTTCTATTACGAGTTCGGGGACTAGTCAAGTGATTCCCGTAGTATTTGTACCTAAAATTATGGCTTAACCCTAACCTAGTACACATACTACGTTCCGGTGCCCGCCATCTTGGTACGCATACTTCAGGAGTACCAACTGAAATATGGCTAACGGTACAAATCGATAGATGCCAGAAATGCATTCCGCATTGCTTCTGAAAACGACTTCATTCGCTTTAACAGTAGTTGGAATTGATGGGAAATTCATAAGTTAAGAGAAATAATTCAATTTCATGCGACAAAAACTGTCTTACGTGTATCATAGCCCATTTTGAACTGAATATATTTTACGTCTCTCAGCTTGCTGGAACAACTTGGTATCAAATGCTTAATGCAGATGATCCGATTGATCGTGTCACACCTTGCTATGTCATGAAGTTTGGTGAAGCCACAGAAGATGGAATCAGCTTTGAATTTGTTATGCTAGACCCCAGGTGGGTTTTAAGTTGAAGCGTAACAAATTCGAATGGTTCAGAAATGCTTATATGCAGATAAGCAGATCTGTGCTGTCTTAGTATGCAAGAAACGGGTGTGAATTTTCATTTGAAAGATTTATATGCCGTGTACAACCAAGGCGCCAATACACAGTTTTATATAATCCTTTTTTAACAAATGTGATTTGTATTGCACCTCATACCAAAAAGTCAATAAACTACCAGAATTGTCTTATTATATGAAGTTTGAACACAAAATTTCAAATAGTGAATTTTTGGTACTAATTTTTTCAGTAACTTGGGTCGTGTTGAGACATCTTATCAACAATTCTACAAGGAAGGACAAGCCTTCAGATTCAAGATGGAGAATGGTTATTATAATTTATTTGTTATCAAAAAAGATGTGACGAAATTGTAACCTGTGAATGTAAAAAAAAGTTATTTAATTTGTTTATGGCCTTTTCGACTAATGATAAGATGCGCGCATCTAGATTTCATTTTTATGTCTCGGTATCGTTTCTCGTAGGGTTTTCCGCCCTTTCTTCAAGGTTTTGGTTTTCCAAGCGCGTCAAGTGACACTATGACGCATCGTCTGTGGTCACTGACCTCGCATGCGTTGGTAATTGAAAAGATTGTATAAGTTTTTACGGTGCTTTCAAGTTTCACATACTCGGATGTTTTGCACAGGGCAATTCAGAACCAAATATAGAACTATTCCATGAATAATCAGTTCATAAATTGAGCGCAAATAACGCTGAATAATAGTTTCGCTGTATTTGTTATTTTGGTTGTTATTATTTATCAACAGCCACACATTTTTACAATAGATGATATGCTTTAGCATATACCCATAAACGTATGCCAAACATTGAGGCGATTTTTCTCACCAAATTCAGGTCTTTGCTTTTAAACTATGATTAACATCCTTTCCAATCTTACACTTTTCTATTCCTATCCTCTTAGGCTTCTCTAAAAATTGTTTTGTTTCAGAGAAAAAATGGTTGAAGGCTTCGCTAAAGCAGGCGTTGGATAAACCAAAGATGCGAGTGGAGACGAGAAGGGTCAGTGAATTTAATATAGACAAAACATTGAACATTTTATGAGCATTGCTAAATATTAATAAATATTTTAACCCTTCCATTTTATACAAACAGTTTTGTCTATAAGTTTCTGCGCAAATTCCGAGAAGTGTGTATTAATGTTCATTGCTATTTTTGTTGAATGACAATAATTTGTTTCCGTTTATTGAAAATATCCAATTCAATCATCAAAGCGAATTTCATCCTTGTACTATTTTTCAGAATTACTCGATCACTTCAAATACCCTGTGCATATCTATACCGACTACGAAACTTACTACATTGGTATTTTGTGCCTAGAAGGTAAATATTTAAAGTTCTAAATATGCAAATCACAACTTGTTCAATGATGAAAAAAGCCACAATTTCTGGTTGCTGTCGGAAAATAACCGCAACATTGACCAGTAAATATATTTAAAGTCCGTGTTCACTAAAAGATCATCGCTAACGGCACAAAGGGATATTTGCCAGTAATGCATTCTGCATTGCTTTTAAAAACGATTCCATTCTCTCCAACAAGTGACACAAACATTAACCGTCGACTATTTCCGACATTGCATTGAAGTTTAATTTATTAGTAAGTAAATTTCGAAATGCACACAGCGCATTCAGAAGATATGTAATTTATCAGGATATTTTATTTATTTTTTACCTCAAATCAGAATTAGAAAAAAACATAATACGTTGACTGTTTTCATTATTAAGTTGAAATACGTTAAACAAGTCCAGGAAAATTGTTTAAAATAACCACACGATTCACTTACATGACGTAATGACTTAAATTTATACGTTTCACCCCTGCTAAACATTTCCTAGTTAGGATAACATTTCAACGTAATTGGTATATTTTTATCACTAAGGTTAATGAAGCTAATTGAGCCGTATTGTATTATTATAGAAATACGTCATTCCCAATTCCAAATTGACAATATTTTGTTTTTATTATTCACAGATAGCCCGGCAGTGTTTGCGTATTCTTCCTACAACGGTATCTCAGCTGAAACTACGGCAAAAATATATAATGCAATGATTGAACACGACGATATGCCTGTACCTTTATATTTCTCCAAGTGCCCTTTGATAAAAAACATTGAAGAATATTTGAAGTAATTTGTCATTTTCATTTGTCATGAACATTTTCATTTGCTGTCAGAGCGGATCGTAATATTGAAATGTTACCATTGTGTAAATATTTGTATTGTAACTGTTTTTTCAACACAGAGACTTGAAATGAAACTCTGTTAAAGGAGAATGAACAATTAAATTTATTGTAAAGCATTTTAAAGAGAATAAACTTATTCAACATTTGTCATTCATTCATTGGGTATTCGCTAATAATACAGCAGAGTTTGAGTTTGTAAAAGGAAGATATTCAAATACAAAATAGGTCTCTCTACAATGGAGGATTATTCTTATTTTAATTTATAATCTTTCTAGAAGCACAAAATCAGGTTATTCAATTCTGCTTGTTGTGATACAGCGGTTTTACGCTCATGAAGGGAAAATTCACAATATACATTTGATATAAGTCAAAACTAGGTGGTAATTGCTCATATCTTATTTTTACAAATGTTTGTATTTGCTGTGTGGGTGATGTGAGTACCCATTTGGGTTCTCCCGAAGTGAGATTCTAAGTGACTTCCGTATTTGATAGTACCTAAAAATTATGGCCTAAACCTAAACTGGTACACATACTACGTTGCGGTGTCCGCCATCTTGGTTTACATACTTCGGGAGTACCCCCATTTGTTTATATGTTAGGTTTAGTCAAGTTTTTTTCTAGTGATCTTGTATTATTATCACTATATTTTACAGTGAGTGTGGACCTGTGGTATAACATAACTTTTTGTTAATCTCAGTAACACAACGCAAATCATTCCGGTTTCCACCTCGAAAAAGTTTTTTATACAATTCAGAGTTTATCAATATGAAATCTTAGATTTATTGCTTTGTATGCAGTATGCAAAAATATTCTTAGAAACCCACGCTGAAAGGTAGATTAAGTACTTGAAGCAAAATAAGCGTGGACGTTACTACATCAATAATAAATTGCATGTCAAAAATGTTCAAATTCAAATTTTGCCACAATCATTTTTCGATTTATCACAAGTCTGTTGTTGTGTTGATTGATATGCTTTTTTGGCTTGATGTGACAATTTCACCATGATGTCAGCGGTGTCATCGTCAGGTACAGGCACAGTATTGAACTCGTCTTCTTTGTATTCTACGTCATCTGGGACGGTAAATCCAACGGTTGGACAACCTTCTACGTTATCACACACCATTTTCTGTAACGATGCTTCCTTCACAATGTTAAATCCAACTTCTCCGCCAAATGTACTGGGTTTCCACCAACCTGGAGAAGCGAGTGGACTTCCGTACAGACCTTTGAAAATAAAATAAAAAGATTTACAATTCATAAACGCAGTGGTTCCTAACTTTTTTCGTTAATTTCTCCGCTTCGCCTATTTTGAAACTTTTTATTACTCTCTCACTATGCATAAGAAGTACTTTATTTTCAATTTTGTTATGAAGCCAGTTCTCAATTATTCGTAACCAGGTTTTTTTTATTTAAGTATTTTCTCTCCATTCAATTCATCTGTGAGGGTCAAAACACTATATAGTATCGATAAATTCCCTTTGCAATTTTACAAAAATTTGAGACTTTATGGACAGTGGACACCCAAGTCAACTAAGTTCCATTTTCACAGCTTTGTATCATTTCAAGCATCTTATGTAAATCAAGTAGATACAAAGTACTGTGTATACCTTTCAAAGAATAAGGGGCACCCATTGTGGCCAAAGTTTCTCCAAATAGCTGACGGTCTCTTCTTTTTTCAAGCACAAGCCCAACGTAAAATTCCAAAGCATCAATATCACCATACAATTCTTCAAGCTCCGCGGCCATCTCCTTTTCGCCTTAATGAACATTAATTTAATTTGAAATAATTAATTTGAATATGGCATGCACAACTAAATAAATCGTGTTTGCCAAGATTTATTACTGAGTTTTGCAGTGATACAGACGCGGGTGATAAGTAGGAATGCAAGATGATAATATATCATACATCAGTACATTATTGTAAATACAGTTTAGCTAAGTCGTCGAATTTAATATCTATAAAATTCTGGTAGATTTAATGAAATTATTTTACAGTATATTTGTCACGGTCATCTTACTTTTATTCACGGTCACAATATAGGTTCGTAATGTAAATTAGTCGAAACATCACGGATACACTTAAAATTACGGGTGTCATTACACCCGCAGAAGTAATTCGCTACTGCTATAGCGCATTTTACCTGTAAACTCCTCGAAGCTTTTGTATGGAGGCAAATTAAACCTTTTTCTGTATTTATTAAACGACTGGAGTCTCATTACCCTTCCTTGCATAATAGTTTGGACTCCAACAACCAGGGTACCGGAACCATGATTTTGTCCTCCTGCCCACTGAAATAAGATTCGAATTAATTGATTGAGAATATTATGTTGCATTTAGGTGGGAACCTAATCCATTGCCTTGTTAATATACACCAAGTGTACGTATGAATTGTTTAGCTAAGTTTTAGTTGTTATTCCGGTTGTTGTAGAAAAAATCGCTTTTTTCAGCGAATATTGAACGAATCTATTCCAAATTTTCAGTATTTAAAAGTGGTTGAAGGCTATTACTTTTATTTTTTTGAATTTCTCTTTTCTTATTTCGGCCAAAATTTCTATACCAAGTGGTAGTGGTATTACGTCAGACAAGTTGGTCATCTTTTGGACAAAGCCGATTCTCACTGCTGAGCTATAAGTCTTACCGGTACCGATGTGAATTACTACAGCAGTGGGACTTACTTTGCAGCTCTGATTTGAAGCATATGAATGATTGAATAACTCACTGTGGTGCAAGTCGCGTACCGGTACTGAGTCTAGTCATTCATGTCCGTATATTTGAGCAGTGCACCCATACTTCATAAATATTGGCATATTTATCAATGTAGAAAAATCTCTCACATTTTTCGTGCATATTAATATCGTACTCGTCATTATTTTCTCGTCAGTCTGTTATTTCTATTATGTTCAAGTTTGGGCGGAGCACGTGAAACGCAATGGCAGCCCAAGGTCGGTGCACGCGTGCATAAAACGTTCCTCGTCCCTCATTATGTGGGAACTAGATATATTTAATCGAGCGAGCATAAAAATGTGGGATTAAATTAGAGAGTACTCACCCGACCGCTAAATTGCTTGTGTAAATCTGACAATAAGTTGCCTAAGCCAGCTTCGACGAAAGGCTTTGGATTGAATAACAATTCTCTGATTTTGTAATGTTTACCTCGTACTCTGTAATATTTAGAAAAAAATTTAAAAAAAAAGATTTTCAACATGATTTAACAAGTTATTGGATTACTTAGTGTGATAAATTCAAAAATTGAGAGCCTTGGTATAAGGTTTTATTTAATCTAAATCTAAAGTGTATTTTTATAATGAATCTAAAGTAAAATACAGCACAAGTAACTGTTAGTAACTAAATAAGAAAAACGAATTGCTGACGCTTGTAATTAGTGGGTAAAAAGAGTAAAAGTGGAATGAAGGATGCTCCCAAAGTATTCGTACCAAGATGGCGCACAACCTGAACATAGTATGTGTACCCAGTCATGGTTGTTCAGGTTGTGCGTCATCTTGGTACAAATACTTCCGCCGAATGAAGTAACAACACACTACAGCACATCAATTATTGCCGTTTGGTTTTAAAGCGATACAATAGTCATCGCTGGACTGCAATTGTGTAAACAAACAATTATATTGAATTGCATTTTATATTTCAATTAACAAGAATTGTGAACAGTCCTACTTACTCTAAATAATCCGGAATCATTGGATGCCAATGATAAATGGCATGGAATTCTTGGTGAATCTGATTGTGATATGATAATTGTCCCATAACTATCTCTGGGTCGTATATAAGTTTGAAATGGAAACCGCTAAGATGTTGAACGTATTCTTCGACGACAATTTTTATTGTTTCACCTGAATAAAAGCCCCAAAAAATTGTTAGAAAATCGGGCTATGTCAGTAGAATTCTAAAAAGTTGTATTCCCAGGGTTGGCAAATTTTTGACTCAGAGTAAAAAAATGGCGCTCCCGAATTATGTGTATCATGGTACAAATACTTCGGGAGCTCCAAAAAATTGACTGTTACCCTGCCCATGTTTCCCTGTGAATAACTTGGCGTTTGTTTGTCTTTTCTTATTTTCGGTTGAGAATTCCATTACTGGAAGTTCAAGTGATATCGAATCGTTTCAACACCAACAATGAGTTACGGCCTCTTGAAATACAATAGAGTTCAAAATATTTCACCTGTTATTACAAGTCTCGCCGTTTGAAAGAGTTGTTCATCGTCCCATTCTGGATGTTCTACCTTCAGAATATCACACACACGGTTGTGCTCTCTGCAAAAATACCAATAATTTATAAAGGTGCAAAAGAGAATTAGAAAGAAAATACACTGACATTCAAATACCATGTTTGAAATGAGAAAATAGGCAGAATGAAAACAACAGGGCAAAACTCAAATATATTATCACGAAGGCCAAAACAAAGTAGTATCAAATAATTTACAGTACCGGTAGTCTTCCTTATCAAAAAAACCTTCGACTTCGCTGACCACTAGATCGCTCAAATGCGATCGCGGAACCGCCACGCGGTGCGCAATTTTTAATTTTGATTGTTAATTTCACAATTTAACGACACGTTGAAATATCTTTGATCATATTTGTGTCATGCTTGCTGGTCGGTTTTATGTATATACAGTAAATGTAAAATTTGTAGAAGAAAGCCATTGTTCAAATATTTTTAAATTAATTAACACTATCAGAGAGAACAAAAGACAATTGGCATTGGAAAAAGGACTGATTGTCAAACATAACAAAAATGAAGAAATCTTGTAATATAATTAGACTAATAATGCAATACCTGTATATTATGATAAATTACTGTTATCGATCAGTATTGTTATTGATTAATATTGTTTATTGCAATATCGTTTTATTTTATAAAAAATTCAATAAAAAATGAACGAAACTATCATTTATATGTCCATTTCGTGTCCAATAAGGGAGAGGTTGGAAACGACAGAGACTGCCATATCTGATCATACTGACCTGAGGTATACAGTAGCCCAAATCATAAAAAATGGTAAAGCTCCAAAGTAAGGATGACCCACAGACACTCTGTATTTTTCTGGAATTGCAGCAGCACCAACCATTTCTGCTCCAACAGCATCTGCTTCGAGTGGTGGATAAACTTCGCCGTTGATTATCGATGTTTTCATTTTTCCATCAACAAAGGAACGAAGTGCGTGCTGGCGTTTAATAGTGTGGCCGTAAACATTAGACAAATCAGCCTGCAGAGACAAAAGTAGGTTTTAGAAATTTGCCATCAGTATATCAGTAAGGCTCTATTATATTACAGAAGATAAACAAGTAATGCAAAAATATTTGGACGCGGTTCTACAGATTGGGTAGAACATTTTTCGGTTTAAATTTATCTCGTAAAAAAAGATATTTAATTTTCTGTAGTAATTTTAAAGTTTGTAAAAATATCTTACATAATGACTTCCCCAATAGAAGGGATATCCTTTACGAAAATCAGTTTTAAAATATTGATGATTTAGATGCTGTGCAAACAACGGAAAAACAACACTCGATCTTTGTGGACAAGGTCGGAATTTTTTTCTTGTAAATAATTTTTCAGCGACCAGTTCAGCTGGTGGTAGTTCCTTTTTTCCTGTAGAAAAATTTATTATATATATATTATTGATTTTTTCCAATATTTCGTTTTGTTGGAAAATTAATGTTGAATATCAAAGTGAATTGGCGATGTATTGTGAAGACTCCAAACCAAATGAAAAATCGTGAACAACCACTAAAAACCTTGCAAAAACAGTGGAAAATCACCAAAAACCTTGCAAAAACAGTGTAAAACCACCATGATCCTTTCAAAAACGTGCAAAAACAAAAATTATGGGAACATAGACGTGTCACCTGCAATGACAACGTATATAAGTCTGGCTCTTTAACCACCAACAAACATCCCCATCAAATTGAAAGTCAAAAATATCGACGTACCTGCTACGCCCATCGGCGTAGGACAATTTCTTGGTACTGGCGGTAAAGTTCTTGCGTAGACAGATCTGTTAACGTAAGTATCCCACGTTGTATAATCATCATTTGCAATGTAAGCTGAAGGCTCTTCAACTAAACCGATGCGAACTGTGGATTGAAGATTTCAGGTTTTAACACGTTATGCTTGACGTGAAATCAGCGGAGAAAAGCAGTCGTTAGTTAGTTAGACTAAGAAGGGGAAACAAGGTGACGATAAAAACAACCGGCACATTTACAAGGTTAGATTTGTGCATGATCTAGGATCAAAAATCAGTAGAAATAGCATTATCATTCCAAGTAAACATTTGTGTGCATTTGGTATTTATTATTGAAGTTGTTTTACGTCAAATATCACTACTTCGAAATATTTTGGGTTCCGAACTGTAAGCAGTCTCGGAGGAGTGATCCACCTATATTCAGCCTTCTATTTTCCCAAGAATTATACAATATTGATATAAAATTTGAATAAAAACAGAGATAGTCATGTATCTAACTCTAACAAATCAATAAATAACTTACGTTTTAAAACAGCTGCCATGAAGGTTTTCTGAAGCCATGGTATGGAGTTGACAATCTTCCAGAACGTCTCATAATGTGTAACAATATATTGGATTGTAGCTGGTGTGGGCTTAATAAATTTCTTCAGCCATGTCGAAAACGGGGCTAAAATAAAGGCAGTTGAAATTTGAGTTCACTCGACCAATTTCGAATTAGATTTATTTTGAATTATTGTGATTGACAGAAACTACAGAAGGTCTATATCAAAGGTGGACAAGGTTTTTGCGCATAGACTGATGGCGGGCTGTGTGAGTGTGTCGTAAAAGTTACATTTTATTAACAATCTTACAAAAGCAAAATTGGAAAATAATACGCCTCGTGCCAAAATTTAAATTTAATCGCAATCTCTACAAATTACTTAAGCTATTTTTAGCTAAAACATTAACATTTAGTTTTAGTTTGGCTGTGGAAGCATTCGGCGGGCCAGATTGAATTAGCCAACGGGTAGGATTTGGCCCGCGGGCCGTAGTTTGCCCCCGTCAGGTCAGGAATTAATTACTGGTCACCACCGTCTTCTTTTGCCACTTGCAACGCATGGGCAGTTGCGGCTTTTTCACCGCCCAAGTGTTTAACCTAAACTAATAGCCTGTATATTTCACGTTCTTACCTATTTCACAGTTTTTTCCATAATGTCCTGTTCTCGTGCAGTCGCATTCATAATCATCAAATCCCTTCGTATAACAAATACCATTGTTCTCACACGGTAACGAACAGCAGGGGTCGTCTGAACACAAAAAGTGAACTTTAATTTTGCGAATATTGGTAAAGGATGGGGAAGGGTTGACTAACGTTAAATCAGATTTTAAATTAAACTGCAATTTAGGTGTATATATAGACAATGGGTAGTGTGGTTATATACGCCGTATGGTATTACATAGACATGACATGGGGTTTAATACCCCATTTAACCACACGCCTGTTAAGTACCCCATTATCAAATTTTTCAAATTCTTCGCTGTTTTTGCACCTGCTTGAAATTATACCGACTTACATTTCTGTTCTGCATATGCCGCTGCAATTAATACGAATAGAACAGCAAACACCAGAACCTTGGAACCTGCAAAATAAATCCAATAATAAACATGATGAACGTGACAGAGTGCATAAAACAAAATGTGGTAGCAAATGCGGAAAATGACTCACCTATAGATCGTTCCATAATAATGCTGTGTTAACAGCCAGATACAAAATTTATAATATACACCAATTCCTGTTTCAAAATAAAATGATACATAATATATAGAGAGTCGTAAACTGACACAACCCTATGAGAGCTAGAGACCTTTATTTTTAGGGTCCTTTAAAAATCAATACGTGCATATTAGTCGATTCTAACTAACACTTGCCACAACATGAACTGATATAATATATAGATGTATTTAGTGCGAACAATCTAAAATGGATACCTCAATAGGGAAGAAAACGCAATCATATAAGGATGGCAATACAATGTATTGAATTATAATATAACTTCCAAAAGCATCTAAATCCGCCTATATTGTAACTGTCTTCTGTCATCAAAGACAAGCAAGCAGGTTTGCCTTGAAACAGCGCGAGTTTCGATTTGATTTCGAAATCCAATACTAATTCGCGACCAACATTTTCTCACGTTCTCCAAACTTTCCTCACGTCTGCTCTGTATACATCTTAAGCTCGATCAGAACTACTACAGCCCAAGAGAATTCCTGACGCGGAACGAAAAAGCTCTTAGCGATTAACATGAAATCTGTCAATAGCGCAATTTTGTCAGTTTTCTAAGAAAAAAGAAAAAACGCCACGACGATAATTTGTCGTTATATATTTGAAAGCGATCTGTATACATTTGTGTTAATACTATTTCATAGTCCGAATAATGCTAAAGTTTCAGTAAATTCAAATGGCGAATGGGTGTATATAACTACCTCCAATCCTGACTCATAACTGACAATCGCAAGTTTTGGAATATACTATTTGTCTATAATAAACATTTCCTTTAATTTATAAACCAAATCCGACAAATCTCACTTATATTCTCTTGAAAATTATTTGCCCGTAGGTGATGCAGATTTGGCGGTGAAATTAGAGCAGTCTTGATTACTAAAACGAAACTCGATCACAATTGGTACTTGCGCCCGACTAGTTATTGAATATTATCTTTATCTAAATATGGCCCGCAGTTCGACGGTACTTAATCAGCGGTTGAATGTAAGATATATTTGCCTACAGCCAACTACGGCCCTTTTTACTGATTAGATGTAGGATTTCAAACATACCTACCTATTAACTTGTTCAATATTCACGATTGTGCGTGTCATCCTTGCGCAACTTGTTCAATATCGAATATATATCAAATACATTATAAGCCAATAATTTGCGTAACTAGGTATAAATTCTGCAATTCTGCCTTTGGATATAAAATATTCTTGAACAAATTGACATCTATTTTTTTTGCTTCTCTAGGCGCAACTTTTGCGGCTTTCGACTGATAATGTTTGACGAGATTCTAAGTTTTATCTTTCATTTCTGACTACAAAACTCTTCAGTCACTTACTCAATTTCCATTGAAATATCATTCATTCACGATTGAGTCAACGTGTTGTCAATAAAATATCTGGGAGAAAATGATTTCTAACCACTGGTTTATAGAATTTACGGTAATCATGTAGTATGTGAACCAAGATGGCGGACACCTAACGTAGTATGTGTACCAGGTTAGGGTTAGGCCAAAATTTTAGGTACAAATACTACGGGAGTCACTTGTCTAGTCTCCGAACTTGTAATAAAACTAAAAAAAGGAAAAAGGAAATAAAATTATGGCCTCACCCCAACCTGGTACACATACTACGTTCCGGTGTCCGCCATCTTGGTTCACATACTACGGGATCGCTGAATTTACTACCTGCTAGTTGTTTTATGTCTCGTGTAAAGCAAAATCTGAAAGCGGCGCGACATTTGTTTGATGACTCTTGCACTTCATTGGTTAATTTTACTTTTGTTTTTACGTGAATCATCATCTTCTTTTCAATCATTCTAACAAATAGCTTTAAATGAATATTCGTGAACTTTATGAATATATCGCGCCCGTAATAATATACCTTCGATTTTTGCGTAATGTGATATTTTTAACGAAAATACCTCGAGATAGCAATACCTGCGCTCAGTCGCTAACGAATCAAAACAAGTCATGTCCGCATTGCGAATTACGTGTCACACGATCATCGGCTCCTCTGGTATAAATTTATTATACATGCATACAAGAATGGAAAATGAGCTAATTAATCAATCAATGCTGGTTTTTGACAGTTTTTAACAATACTGCAGCACAAAAGACGCGCCGAAATAAAACATGTTTTGTTGGATGCCATAGACACACGATTTCTTTTAAACACTAATTAAAAAGAATCCCCAACGTGATAGTAGTTGTATTGCAAAAGTCGCCACTGAGCCGTGTTCCCATACACGCAGTTCGGCATCATAAAATGTAATGCACACCCGCAGTCAATCGAACAGCCAAATTGTCATTTACGCAGGAGATAATCGCGATTGGGACCAAATATCCATCCTTTTTCCAACAAGGATTCAAAGTTTTTCCTAATTTGACATGAACATGGCGTCTTGCAATGCTTTCATTAGACCCTCGGACAATAGCAATAGGCAAAACGTTTTAACTATACCTCAAAGAATTCGAAGTTCAAACATCAATTTTTTTGAGTGTGCGATTGTCAAATGACGAAGTCATGTAGTCAGTAATGCTGTTTTTTTATTGACAAATTCACTCACACATGAACACTCCCTCCGGAAATCTAGCACTAAAAGGTCCAAAAAAGGTGGAGGAGCTCCTAAGTGTTATTACATGGTTTACAATACTCACTTGCCGGCGACCAATATATCTGAACAGTATTTCAATTAACAAGCTAAGCAAGTTTCACGAAAATAAAGGCGACTCATACATTGCATACAGTACCTATAACGTTTCCTCATCTAATGAATTAATCATCATTTTATTTAGGTAATTGCTGCTAACATAGATTGCATATTTGCATTCATAACATACCTATATAGCATATATACATACATAACTCATGTTCATGTATATGAACTGTTGATGATGCTTAAAGGATGAATCATATAATCAATCATGTTGTCTTCTTAGTAATATGTTCAATAAATATTGAAAGAATATTTAAATGATATTTGATTTCATAGCATAAACCATTTGTCATACACTTACTAATAGCAACATTGAAAATATCAGACTTTTGACTAAAATATGAGTGTTAATACATAAGATTTATGACAAGCTAAAGGAAATATATCTATATTTTTATACATGGCGAATTAAACACAAGTTTATGGAAATTTGAAAAAAAATTTGAATTTAATTCGGCATAAAGAAATGCAAGTTATTTTTCTGGAATCTAAAAAACTTTTCTGATGGCAATAATTTTCATCTAAACTTGAAACTAAAACGTTTTTTGCTTCATGTGATAATATTTGAATACATTTCATTTATTTTTAAGTCTATTAATAACATTTTGAATGCAAATTCTTGCAAAAATACCCTGTTTCAATATTTTATATATAACTTGTATGTATGTATGCATGTGGCCGTTTTTTAACGAGACTAATTCGGTAAATTAAAAACAACCCAAAATGATTTTTAAATAATTTATATTTCGATTTCGCATTATTCAGTCAATCCCTACTTTGTTTTTTGAATATAAAAATTATGATTTTTTGCTGGGAGGGACATCAAGTTTGTCAAAATAGGTTTAGATGTTTTGTTGTTCAGTTACAAGTGGTCCCCAACCTTTTTCTGTTAAAACTCTCCCTTTGCTTATTTAGGAAACTATATCCCTTCCGCCCGATGTTCGTATAAAACTACTTTATTCATTTAAAATTTAATATATTCTTTGCTAGTGTTATGCGTAAGTCGCACTCCCGTTCTTTTAAAGTTCAAGTAGTTAATATGTGCGAATATTACACTGCTGATGAAAAAAAACTGAAGAATAATAGTAATTGCGATTGCAACACGTAATTCCCCCTTAAAGAGGAATATCTTCCCGATTGGAAAACATTAAATTATGAGCACGTATAAATTTTCGAACCTGGAATATGGTAGGTGCGTATAATAAGCGGTGAAATCCAGTACGCCATATTTGTTGCTCAATTACAAAGTCAGGAAAGATAGTTCGAATTCAATAAAATACTTAACACCCAATTGGACTTGAAAATAAATCAGATTATGATTATTAAAAGAGATTTCTGTAGTACAAGGTGTATTTTCAGTAAGTTGAAAAAATAATAAACTACTTAACTTCTGTTTATCGAGACGGACAGACAGACAAACATTTTCTTTTGTTACCATGATGGAACAGCAGACAAATATATTAAAGTTTTTACATGTATAGCTGGAAATTGGAAAAATAAATTATGTCCCTCTCGGCATTGGTGGATGAAAACGTTATATATCTATCTATCAAAATTTCTGAGAAGAATTCATCATATTTTTCGATCTGAGACACGGATAAATTATTATAAAATCAATTTTCAATTTATGAAGCTTTTTCAATCACGTCGCGACTTTTGTCTGGGGCAATGATATTATTCTTTTTTAAAACACCGTTCAAATTATCGATACATACATTAATCAGCGCGATTATTGTCACGATGGGGGCACAAATAATTTTTTCGTGTTATACTTTCTTATCGTCATTTCGCGAAGAATTATCCTATGCTCGCATTAAAGAAGCGAAATGGCGAAATTAGGTAATAAATTGTAGAGGATGTGACATCGAATTAAAGACCGTTGTCGTGACTCAAATAAAATGATTTCAATCAAATTAATTGAATCAAAATGTCATTTCATCTATCATTGTAGATTTTATCATAATACGTTACTGTCACAGGCAGTTTCAATATTGCAATATACTTCGACCTGTCAAATTAATTTCACGATTACAAAATAATATATCGCTACACCGTGTCTTGCTACGGAGTAAATTATTTCTGCAAAGATAATTCGACATCATGTAGATTGCCTCAGCTTTTGAATATACAGGGTGTCCATAAAGTCCCTTTACCATTTCAATTTTGGTATGAAGTCAGTTCTCAATATATCTTAACCAAATTTGTTGGAAGTCTGACCTTGGTCAGACGAAACGTTACAGAAATATATTTGTATTAGTGTGTAGCAAGACTATTTAATCACTTAGAATGACATAACAATTGCAGTTTTTGCAGCCACTCAGACAGATGTTCAAGCAGGCTTCGTTTTCATAGTTTTGCATGTTACAGTGTTATTTGTCAGTTTTAATTTATGTTTTTAAAAAATAGCTATATGCCTTAATTCAGTAATGGTCATTTTGCCTTCCGAGGAACTTTAAGTTGGTTGCCGTAATCAAAATTCTAGCAAACGACGTGATTATCTAGGCTAAAATTATCTATCAGTAAACTATCTGTGCAAGCGGCACGTGGTTGAGTAATTTTAGCAGAAATGATGCCTTCAAACATGTGAACCAGTTTATAATTTCCAACACTTGAAAACAATCATAAAAAAAAATTTCAATAGCAAAATATCGGGAAAATTTTCTGAGATATATATATCGCAAGTTCAAGTAGAAACATGTACATTTATCCGTCCTAAAGCGATATACATGGTGTATTGTATATATCTGAATTGAAAATCCTTTTTTTGGCTTTTTGATGTTTTAAATTTTTTATGTAGATATCAGCTTGACTGTATTATGTCGGATATACATTCTAAATCTGCCATTCAATAATCCTTCTTAGTTGTAAACCCTTGATCTTGCTGAAGTGGAAATCGTCATGGTAGCAACCAAAACTACAAATTTTAGTAGGATTTTTTATCATTTGATGTGGCTCACTAAATCAACTGATGGCTCTAAATCAGCATATTGCGAATTGTGCAAATCCACTATTGTGCTAGGAGTTCTAATCTGTTTTTGTACTTTTTTCTGTCTTGATTTGGATTTTTTCATCACTGGGATCTGGCAACCCTGGGTGGGAGGATCTTATTTAAATAGAATACATGAATAATTTACGCAATTCTTGAAGGTAAGAAGTGAAACTCTTCCAATTAACTACAGCTAGGGTTACGTATGACTAACTACCTTTCCTTGCTCTATGTCTTCGCGGAAGTGAATCCGTAGGATGCTGCGGTACGAATTAAATATTCTTCCAGTTAATCTAACATTTTTGTTGCAGATACAGGGCAAAATGTTATATGCCGTAGTAATCTCTCTCCTTGCAGGACCCCTGCTTTATCTGCTATATCTTGCTTATGAATCTATGACGAGACCAAGACGATTTCCTCCTGGTCCAATGGGCCTTCCATTTGTCGGTAGTCTTCATCTTCGCGGAGAATTTCCGGAAAAAAATTGTATCGAGCTTGCAAAGAAATATGGGAATACATTCAGCTTAAAGTTTCTGAGAAGCAATTTTGTTTGCTTGGTCGGAACTGAAGCCAACAGAGAAGTTTTATGCCATAAGTATATTGCTGATCGTACACCAACAAATATTTTCACCATGGTAAAAGGGAAAAATGCTCCTGGTATTGTCCATAGCAGGTTTAATGAACAACTTAGAGTGAATAGAACATTTCTACACACTATGATCACAGATGCAAATGCTGTTCCCGGTAACAACCTGGAACAGATAACCCAAAGGGAAACTGCACGATTGATTGAAGAGTTAGAAAATTTATTCAAAAATGGTGAGCCAGGGTATGTTCGAAAATCAGTTCGAATAGGATTCTTCACTGTTTTGATTTCAATGATATTTGGAACCAAAGAAAATCGATCAGAGAAATGGCTGAAAAAGCTCGAAAAAGTTATGGAAGACATCATTGCACTCGAAGACTACTTTATGGACAAGAAACTCATCATGTCGGAGTTGCTCACCGGATTGGACAAAATATGGCTGCCTGAAGCGGGGAAACAATTTATTGCGGCTTGTGATAGAATATTTGCATTTATTCAAGAAGGCATCGACATTCATAAAAGGACATTCAAATCCTTGACTGAACCTCGTAGTTTGATTGATTGTTATCTAAAAAGAAGAAGAAACGCCGGACATGGAAAAGATTCATTGTACTCTGATTATAATTTAAAGATTCTAATATTTGATATTTTTATCGGCGCCCTTAAGAATGTATCAACTGGAATGGAATTCTCTACGTTATACTTGGCAGCTCATCCAGAAATTCAGAAAAAACTCCACGATGAAGTGTTTGAAGTTTTAGGAAAAGACGGCGAAGTAAAATACAATGACATTTTACGAATGCCATACACCAAAGCAACTTTGTATGAGCTTCTAAGATTTGGCAATATGCTCGCAAATGGAGTTCCAAGAGTTGCGATGGAAGATGTTTCCATCAGCGGGTATGCTTACTCAAATTTTATACATTGATATATTTATTTATATTTTTCTAGAGTTTCACCCCAAACTAAATTTATGGCTCATAATTTGAAACGTTTTACAAAGAACGTTTTATTTCGGTTCTAAGAAAAATTGCCGCAAGAGCATTTTGCTGTAAAACAAGTATTTGTGAAAAAAACAGTTAGGTTTTCAAAGTACCTTTTCATTTAAAAAAGATTCAAAGCATTGACTAAGGTATAAAGTTGCTTGTATCACTTTTGATCCTACTTTTATTTTCGTTTGCGCAAAATATCATAAAATCAAACTTTTATAGGAAAAATTCGCAGAAGATTGAATATTTAAGATTGAATAATTCTCCGAATTTCAGGTATTCAATACCGAAAGGAACTATTTTTCTGATGAATCCTTATTCCAGCAACAAACAAGAGGGAAAATGGAAATATCCAGAATCATTCAATCCGGAGAACTTCTTGGACGAGGTGAGATCACGATCGTTTATAATAAAACTATAATAAAATGTAGGCTAATTTATCCACATTCTTGTAGTTCTCAAATCGTCTCAGTAATCATTCCTAAATTGGTATATGGAGTCGGAGTTGGTATTATCGTGGTATATGTAACAGGTTAGGGTTTAGACTATAATTTTATTTTATTCCGATTTTCCTTAAGTTTTTCGGTTGAATTGAGAATATTTTAGTTCTATTACGAGTTCGGGGACTGTCTGTGTTAGCCAAGTGAATATACGTTACCCCCTGCTCATAGGTCTCAGTCTCTTCACACAACTTGATGTAAAGTAAGCGAACAAAATTAGTTACCTCCCTATTGGTACATACACTTCTGGAGCTCCTCAAAGCTCCTCCTTCTTTGTATTTTTTTGATATTTTAAAAGGAAAAAAGGGTTAGAAATGCCAAACTTTGTAGATGGAATTGAATGTTCCTCAACTTGAAGTTGGAGCAAGTAGTTGAAATTGTTATTAAGCTGGTGTCGGGAGTAGAGTCTTATATTTGTTGGAGTTTTGTTTTATAAATAGCACGGAAGTAAAATTAAATTTTAGTTTTTGATTCCATATCCTGGACTATTCAGCATTGAAATATGTCTCAGATACTATATATATATACTCGTTATGTTCTATGTGTATGAGAAAATTTTATTGCAATTTTGCGATCAAAATACACCAAAGGATATTAAAATCCCGAAAGTCTTTTTACTATTGCTATTATCGCTGCTATTTTGTTTAATCAGGAAGGGAAATTTCAGAATAACGCAGCATTTCAAGTTTTCGGTGCTGGAGCAAGGAAATGCCCTGGTCCCCGCGCTGCAAAACAACAGTTGTTTATGTTCCTGGTCACAATAATGCAAAATTTTACCATCAAACCAGAAACAGACGAAACAGAAATTGATTATGATGGTTTGCCTGGACTTATTCGAATGCCACGGAAGCAAAAAATACGATTATTACCGCGTGATTAACTTTGAAACAAATTATCATTAAATTCATCATGCCATCTTAATTGATTGATATATGGGACTGTAAATTCTCAAATTAATTTATCTGAATTTTTTTAATTGTGTCATGGCTGTTTCATATTTGTTTTACTTCAATATTTTAAGTGCGTGTCACGATGAAAATATGATAAACTTTTTGTAAATAACATTTGACGTTAAAACGAAAATAGAGAAGTATAACACTTTTCAAGACGCAAGTTAGGCTACTCTTTCATTTCACTAATCTTAGCATTGCATGGTGTAACATTATTACTCTACATCAATTTTATTTAAATAAAAATAAGTGTATTAGAGTTATACCGTGATGATATCACATAAAAAGAAGGCGATGCTCAAATATACGGACACGAAGATGGTGCATCGGTACGTTAGCTGTCCGGCTGAGCATCGAGTTTGCGAAGAGGTCGATTGACGAGCGTGACGCGGAGGAAGATACGTGTGACGAAATAAAGTGTTTCTATATTACATAAAAAGTTTGTTCCAAATTGAAATAAATAGCTCTGCGGCAACTTAAACCATCTGTAAGTGCTGAAAATTAGAAATGAATGCGTCTATTAGTTGCGAAGCGCTTCATCCCAACAACAACAAGAAAAAGTCAACACCTTAGCAAAACTAGCTATCAGTCCTTAGTTTCATATCATAACTTGGTGTTGTATTATTAATTAGGCTTTGTTACTGTGTTCTGTTAGCCTATGTGGTCATAATTAGTCGAGCATAACTCGACGTGCAAACTAGCCTTCGTTTGAATGTCCATCTTCTATTTATTGGACACGAAATGGACAAATGTATTAAAATATGCGTTGTTATTGTTGGGTAGTTGTTGCGAAAAAATCACTTTTCTGTGCAATTGACGGACCAATTGATATCAATAGAGAAATTAAAGGTGGAAGAAGTCGTTGGAATGACCTATATTTACTCTAAATTCAGTTCGCTTCAAGGACATACTTCATATTACTTTCAGTAAAATTATTTTAACATTCAACACTGCTAAGTTCTAAATCTAAGCGGTAATCACTACATTCATTTCGTGAAGATTTGTAAGGCTAAAACGAGATGGGTGGGGGTGGTATTGCATTGTAGTATTTCACGGAGATTAAACTTTTAAATCGATGGGTAATTTACAGTAAAAAGCTTATAATTCGTTGTCATCGAACGAATATGGAAGAATGGAAGTTTTCATAATATGAAACAATGGAAACTTTTCGAAACAGCTTCGGGCAATATAAAATCGTAGCGCAGTTGTTGCACTGACAGTATATTTTGTGAATATTCAAAACCGGCAGCGTTGTTTGTATTGATTAAATGCGGAAATAAAGAGAACGGTATAGTCCAACGGTTACCAAACTTTTTATTTGTGCAGCGCTAAGTTATCACGGATAAAACTCACGTCGCACTTATACGAAAAAAAATGCTGCCTTTCAAAAAAAAAACTCGCTAATGTGTACTTCATGCATTATAAGGTTTGTAAACATGTAGTGTAAGCCTAAAGAATAAATACAAAAGGTAAACTCTTTTCCCTCATCTCTGCCTGATTTTCCCTCAAAATGCAGAAAAAAATCACTCATGTTAGACTAAACTCAGCGATAAATAAAATAGGTTCAGCAGATAAATAAACTGCAGCTCACGAAATTGCAGCCAGTAGTGTCTACCTCTATTGTTACGTAACAATAGAGGCAAACGCGACGTAACAGAAAGTAAACGACATGGAAAGGTAAGGTGAAATCATTGATAAACATTTATAATAAATACAATATGTAAAATATTTAATCATATTTTAGTGATGTTAAACACAATTCTGTTAATTCACGCGCCGCACTTAGCAACTCGCCACGGCGCACCCTTTGGGAACCGCTGCATTAGTCAATTACCAATCTAGTTTCGATAAGTAAAACGAAATACGCAAAGTTTTATCACGAAGAAAAAAGCTAAAAACAGAGCTGTCTTCGTACATACATGTTCGAACTGCAAATATCTTTTCCCCGTTGTGTGATTTAGGGGTTGGGCGCGATCATGTTCATGGAATATCGGGATAGTTACCGTTCTTGTTTTTTGTTTGAAACGTTAGACAAGCGCAGCAATTGTATATATAACTTGCACTGACGACAAGAAATTTATGTATTCGATTTGTGTGAAGCATGTTCTGTTGATGTAGCTTACGTTTAGTGACGTACGTACATTTTCTGAAATGAGGGAATCTGTTATTTTGTGAGTTTGATACAAAAGAGACAAATTCTTAGAATTTTGAATCCCATCGCTTATTTTATTCCAGTCTATCAAATCATGATCGCAGAGAAATGAGATTGGGGGAAACCAACCGAGAAACAGCTAGAAGGTGTGGTGAGACATGGGGTCAGTCAAGCAAAAGTTATTTTCTAGTTCGATATTGGTTGGAATAAATCTATCCTATCCCCCTAATTTTGGCCATTTTAATTGATGATGAAAATTGAAAAGATAAAATGTTGCCAGAGCGGTGGTAAAACTTTACCAACCAGCTTTTTGTGAGAAGTAGGTATCAAAACCCATTCTTGAACTTTTTCTTATTTCATACTCTAAACCACAAATTTCACTAAAAGATCCTCAAATGAAGGAAACAATAACAGCAAAATATAATAGATTAGTATTAATAAATAAATTTCATTCATGCCAGAAAAATATTTTTCAAATAAAATTTATCAAATGAATACAAGAGTACTTTTTTGAAAGTCGATTAATACACATTAAGCGTTGAAAAGTCTGAGAAGCGCGAACATAATCTTGCTTTTCAAGAGTAATTTCAGTCTGTTTTGCTTCTGCGCGGCATAAGCACTCAGTGTGACGAGAGGTGTAAACTTATTGGACTTCAAATTTCAGATAGTACCAAATCTCCGACGTGTGCAAATTTCTATATATTATACTAGCATTTTAACCCATAACAATAAATGTATTTGTCCCTGTTTGTTTGGCCACATATGAGTTTTCCATCCGTAGATACATTTTCGCTTAAAAGCTACCGGCTTCAGATACAGCACGCTTACTTGACGTTTTCCAGCACGACTAACGCTTTATATTCAAATTTTTGCTTTGCGTAAGTTTCGGCATTACCGTTTGTTAGTAGGAAAAATCGATTTTTTTTTAAATATTGATGAGTCTGTTAAAGGAATTAAAAAAACGTGATGGCGTCCAACCATTTAGAAATTGGCATAAGATAGCAGTGTGTCCCATAACAAACTGCGGCCTATGTGACGTAAATTTGAGCCTTGAGGCTTACATAAGGTATAGATCGCGTCTTTCGGAAGATATTCGACAGGAACAATATTCCTTTTCCTGTACAGCTCATCGCATATTTGCGATATGATTAGTACTGCATACCGGTATACAAATCACGGTTGCTAGCAGTTATGGTAATTGATAAAGAAGAAATAATAGCGGTAATTATTCGATGACTCTGAAAATAGTAATATATTGTTTTCAGCGGTTTAGCAAAACGCTGCAAAACAGCCGCGGGGCGAGAAAAAGTTAGCTCAATAGGTAATAATGAAAGAATATATTTTCCAATCTTGTTTGAAAAGTTATGGCGGCTTGGGACATAGGTTAGTATTTCGTATAGCTGTGATAAAGCGAATGTAGGTAATATGATTAACTCCTCAATTTAAGTGGCAAATTCCAACGAGAGGCATGACAGCGGATTTGGTTTTTATATACGAAAAGTGTAAGTTGTAGGCACAATTATATCATGTTGATTGAATTTCGGTCATTTTAGCAAAAATATTATAACTAGTTGTAAATCGGGTTTAGGTCAGATTCTTCGAATTAAGACAAAACGAGTTGATCATAACACATCTTAGCTGTCGCATTCGAGTCGCAAGCCGTAGCCTGCGGACAAACATATTGTTTTGATCGGACGATCAAGATTAGATCTCCGACCGGTATTGGTAGTACATCAACCTAAAGACGCAAGTTATTATATAAGCACGCCACGGTTGGTATTAGGAAAAAAATGAGAGTTATGTATATATCCATAAGATACTGTAGAATTGATGTTGGCAATAATATACCAATTGTGAGTACTCCGGTAGTATGCGGGCCAAGATGGCGGACACCGGAACGTAGTATGTGTACCAGGTTAGGGCTAGGCCATAATTTCAGGTACAAAAACTATGGGAGTCACTTGGCTAGTCCCCGAACTCGTAATAAAACTAAAAGGTGCGATATAGATCAAGCTGTGGATTAGAGATCTAATCTTTATTGTCCGATCAAAACATAATGTTTTGTCCTCGGGCTGCGAGTCGAATGATGCACAAAAGGTAAGAATTGTTGTGACCAACTCGTTTTATCCAAATTCAAATGATCTGACTTAAACTCGATTAACAACTAGTTATAATATTTTTGCCGAAATTCAATCAACTCGATATAATTGTGACTACAAAGTAATGCGATCGTGCTAGTACACCCGAGGTATGTGGATAAAATAAAACTGAGCAAAATGTAGGGAGCAGCGTGGTCGAAAACAGTGCATTGCGAAATACCAATATATGCAATTGAAACATGAAAGCGCGGCTGGTGGTCCGCGCACAACATTAGAAACGACATAAATTCGCGGTCCTAATTAGTCAAACGATTGGTTTTCTAAAAGCTTACGTTTTATTGAACTAGTCCGATAAAGTTGAATATTCTCAGTTATTCACTGATCTTGTAGTAAGTGATTCTTTCCTTGTTGTTGTTATGAAAATCTCTTTAATTACTGGACTAAATGCTTTGACATACTTCTCTCTCATACTTTTATTTGCTGTCTAATGTTCTATGAAATCTAATAGATATTTTTTATTTAAAATTCCGCTGTTTTATTTTTATTCGCGGGTACACGTGTTTATGACAACGTGGTGATTCGGTTTGATTTTGCGAACATGTGCAACGCAAAAGTCGGAGGTTATTTAATATCGGTAACGCACTGTAGATCAGGTACGGTAAACTACTTCGTTTTAGCTTTCGTATCCATATATTTGGGCATCGCTCTCTTGTGCTAAATGAGATCGCTTTCACTTTGGTTGCTCAAATCTACTAAATAAAATTATGTGGCCGATTGTGTTCGTTTACACCTTTATGCAGAAAACGAGCCGATTTTTACTTTGAAGTATTTTTTAAATTTTGTAAATAAGCAAGTACCGATTACGATCATTAAGTAGGTACTTCAGTGAAACGAAGATATGGGCGGACCATTGTACTTCTGATTCGTAAATTTAAAATATTATTGTAGGAAAGGTACTGTATATACAATGTTTTATACAATGACGTACGCGGGCATTATTCATTCCCGATACATATTAGACATTAGTCATTCAATACCCATTCCACGCGAGGAAATAAACGTGGCATTTACAAAACAATTTTAACATTAAAACTCTTATGGGGAATGTGATCACCAGAGCATAAATTTGCGTTTTTCTGGTATTTTTTAAAAATTCATATTAACACGATAAACATGGTCATGCAAGTTTTTTGATAAATGTTTATCAAAATCGCATCGAGCGTGGGATTTCTGACTGGCTCCTGTCCTAGCTAAACAAATGCATTCTGCCAAACGAGCCTGTGTGACGGTCATGCCGCCTGGGATATAGTTTAGTTATGAATGGATAAAACTATTTTATGAAAGATTCTAGGGATCTTTTGTACAAAGCCATCGCCACTAATGCAACAATTTGCGATTTGAGAAAATCACCCCAGCCACGTTTTTAAAAAGCAAATTAAAAATTATCCAGTTGGGGTTAGGATTGATTTGAAAATTTGAAATTTCAGCACAATTTGCATTCTTAAACATAATATGATACTGGGTTATTTTCTCATTTTGATCGATAGCGATGTTTTTGGCGGGGGCTTTGTACAAAGATCCGCATCTAGTTGGTATGACAGTCTATATTCCATTTCCTTCACATTTATTCAGTATTTTTTCCAAATTTTTTATTTGGGTTAACGATACGGGTATGAACACATTCGCTGTAAAACGATTTCAATTAGACAAGTCTTCAAGACAAGTTTCAAGTAGACAAGTATTTCTAGACATAATGAGCACCTTTAGCTTTACGAAACTGTCTCTATTGTTTGCTTTTGTACGAAAAACGAGTAAAGCCTACAGCTTGGACGTTTTGGCGCGATGATTCATTGCATTGTTAAGACCCGTTCAGGTTTGATAAGAAATACGCAGGATCGTAACTCAACCGTGCGTAATTGCTCGAATATTTTGGCTTACCGAGGTCGGATAAATCCCCGATTTTTAGGTAATAGCAGAAAGTCGTCTTTTTATAATAAATATATTGAGATGTATGGGAGCTATTTACTCGATATCATTGCTCGCTTGATTTAGGATTGCTGTGAACGCTTTTCTACGACCGATGAACAGTAGCCTACAAGGTAAAAGATTTAAAAGAACTAAAGATATCTTTTGAGGTTGTACCTGTAGATGCTGAGAAACCAATGATGTTTGAATTACAAGAGATTTTTGAATACAAAAATTGATAATAAAAAAATTTGAATGCCTGCATTCTGATGTGAGTGCTTGAATCACATGGACAATGGGAATTGACGGGGAGACAAAATGTCAAAATGCAGATTTGAGCTTTAAGGTATGGGCTTTTACTAACATATATAAGAGCCAGAGTGTTTGACTTGCAGAATTGAAATGTCTATAAAATGGAGATCAGGTTTTCAGATTTATTAAATTTCACTTGTATAAACACAACACTAATTTTTGTAATATCTCATGTCCTAAGTAAATGAGGAGCAAACCACGCCCAATGGTCCTAGAGAAAATTGTGAAAATTTTATACAACTGCATACAAAATCTAGATTTTATTCAAATTATATTTAAAATACTTGAACTATGAATTGTTAAGATGATATAAACGTTTTTTTCATCTCCGGTTCAATATTATCAGTGTTAAATTTGGGCGCTACAGAAATGTGTGTAATATATGGAGGTAACTAATTTTGTTCGCCTTTTTCACATCAAGTTGTGTAAAAGGACTTAATCCTATGTGCAGGGAGTATAGGGGGTATATACTTTTCATTATGCGACCCATTGGAATAAAGATTTTCTGAATGCGACCCCTAGACCACCCTCTCGTCCTCACCTAAGCTATTTGTGAATATTTTCCCGCTTTATATCCGTTTGAATTTCTGTCTGTCATATTCGTTTAAAAAATAAATTTGTGGTATTTTATACAATAATTTCGTATTTCAGAAATTTATAGAATCTCATTATAATAGATCATGGAAATATTCTCTATTGAAATAATCATTGGATTGGTGATAGGTACTTTGATGTATCTGGCTTATAAATCAATCATTAGGCCAGCAAATTTTCCTCCGGGACCAATTGGAATTCCGATTCTCGGTAGTTTACAATTACTGAAGGTATATCCAGAACGAGATATGTTGAAACTGTCAAAAACATATGGAAATTTATTTAGTTTGAAAACTGCAGCAAAGAATTATGTTTGCGTTTGTGGAACTGATGCTAACAAAGAAGTTTTAAACCACAAGAACATTGTGGATCGGCCCGCGACGTATGTGTTTTACATGATAAAAGGTAATCAACCTAGAGGTATTGTGCACAGCAATTTCACTGAGTGGCTCAAGGCAAACCGTGCCCTGATGCATACAGTACTTACCGATTCTGTCGATGAAATTGTTGACACACAAACAACGAACATGATGAACGAACTGGAAGAATATTTTGGAAATGGTGAGCCCAGTTATATCGGTAACGTTATTTTTGCGTCTTTTGTTACAACGGTCGTAGATGTGCTTTTTGGAAGTAAAACTGTTCGAACGAAAGAAGAAAAAGACAGAATTGAAGAAATTGTACGGAGCGTAGTCACGCTCAAAGAAGCGTTTGCTGGAAAATTATTTATGATTCCTCAACTAATTCCTGGTTTACACAATATATGGATTCCTGAGTCTGCAAAGAAATGCTTGGAAATAAGTGATACCATTTTTAAATATTGTGCAGAACAGGTTGAGGCTCATAAATCCAGAATGGATACAGAAAAAACAAAAAATCTCGTTGGCCTGTACCTGGATAAAATGAACGAAGAAAAAGATGTGCAAAATACCGTCTTCACACAAGATAATTTCCGCATTCTGTTATACGATATCTTTGTAGCGGGAACAGAAAACTCCTCAAGGACTATGGAATTTGCATCGTTATACTTAGCTGCCCATCCAGATGTACAAAGAAAAATCCACAAAGAAATTATCGAGGTTCTCGGGAAAAATGGAAAAGTACAATACCAAGACAGATTGAAAATGCATTACACAATCGCAACAGCTTTTGAAATTTTGAGATTTTCCTCATTGACTCCGACCGGTGTTCCCCGTAGAGCAATGCAAGACGTCACATTGAACGGGTAGGTCAAGTATTAATAGCACATGCATCATTTGCAGTATTACCACGACTTATATACGAAACAACTAAGTATAATGATGGCATCCTTTGAAATTTTTGAAAGCCGTAGGCGGATATTTTTGCTATATATATGTGAAAGCCCTCGAAATAGCGTTTCTGGATGTTTCACGGTCATTACCCCCAAACCCCACCGCTTTGTCTATAGCGTAAGTTATCTTCAACAATGAGCATTATTGACTGAATATGATAAAAAAAAATCCTGTTAACATTCAACGTATTGTACAACGCATACGACAAAAACGATGCCAAATAATCAACATCGTGTTAAAAGGCATCCAATTTAATCCTAGGTTAAGTCAGATTACTGCATATGAGTAAACTGGTAGGCAACATGTCTGGTTGTAATTCTGAATTTTTTTTCAGATATTTTATCCCTAAAGGCACCATTTTTCTAATGAATCCGTGGTCTTCAAATACTCAAGATGATAGATGGAAGAATCCGGACAACTTCGATCCAGAAAACTTTTTAGACGAGGTAGTAGACGAAGTATTATTTCATAATATTCCTAAAATCTAAATTTGTTAGCCAACGAATTGAAAGTCACCACTAGCGTTTGAAAATAATCATACGGGAGGATCTATTAATAAAATGGTATTGTTTGTCTTATAAAAGGTGGCAACCAAGAACGTGTTAGGAATTTTTTTTTGGGTACTCGCGATGTAGGTGAAACAAGCTGACGGAAACCGAACGTAGTGCTTGTACCAAGTTAGGGTTAGGCCATAATTTCAGGTACACATCTCTTGAGTTTCTTGGCTATTCCCCGAACTCGTAACAGAACTAAAATAGGGAAAATTGGAATAAAATTATGGCCTAACCCTAACCTGATACACATACTTTGAGAGTACCTTTTTTGTGTGTGGTAAATTCCGCTGCAATATCTATATCCTGTAATATCCAACAATATTGAAATTCTACTCTGAGAACTGCAAAATATGATATTATTCGGTGAAACACACATAACAACAAAAAGTAAATGCTGAAAGTTAGAATTCTATGTCATCATTCAACATTTTGCGTTTTATTAACAGGATGGAAAATTTGCTATGAATGATGCATTCATGGGTTTCGGTGGAGGATTGCGTAAATGCATTGGTGCGCCTTTAATCAAGACAGAACTCTTTGTGTTTTTGGTCAAATTGGTCCAGAAATTTCATATCAAGCCTGAAACTGACGACACAAAAATTGATTACGAGCCACTTGGGGGAGTTATTCACACCCCGAAGCCACAGAAACTTCGACTGCAGCTCAGATAGATTGACGACCACTCTGACAAAGTTTAACTATTTAGCGAGCACATAGGGATTGCAAGTCAGTTCGGACAATTGTTTTATTCGGAGGTATCCGCTCTATCACTTGTTTTGGCGTCATAGGAAGAAGCTACAATTGACCAGCCAGCAGTTTACCATTGTAAATGGATCGAAATTGCTTCAATATCGCAAACGTTTTTTTTTTTTATTGCTTTTACGCTTTGCATATGAAATATATTAAGTAATTTCGTTTTGAAAAGATTGTTGTTTTATTGAAACTGATACGTAGTCTTAGCTCGAGTAGAAATTTATGAAAACAAGAAAGTAGTGATAGCAGTAGAGAATTAATAGTTCACAAAACTGTGGTGTCAAAGCCTTTTGAGGGCACATTTCCGCTCCAGTAATATATATATTAAAACATATTTTAGAATTTTCCTTTAAATTGTGAACGTAAAATCAAACGAGCTATATGTTTAAACTCTTGGAAACGAACGTGGTGCCGTATCAGTGTCATCAGATGTGGTCGTTGATAAGTTGTATATTAATTTGTGCTCGGTTTTTGTCTACTTTTTCCAGAGTGTAAGTGAAAGCGATAAAATTAAACCAAGGCAAATTAGCTTTACATATTAAAAAGTGGAATTTTATGTCATTGTTGAGAAAGTAAAATTACTGTATGTTACGTTAATATGTTATACACTTGTAATTTCAGTTGATTTGCTACTTTAGATTTATGTTTTTGAAACCAATAAAAAAACGAACTAACGCCTAATTAACGTTTTCCAGCACGACTAACCCTTAATATTCAAATTTTTGCTTTGCGTAAATTTCGTCATTACCGTTTGTTAGTAGTGAAAGTCGAT